GTTCAATGAATCTAATTCTGGAACTAGGGAGTTTGTTATCTTCAAAACAGGGCTGGTCCAGGTCTTCTAAAAACGTGCATCTCTGCTCGCGGAGGGATACTTTGCATCCCTTCATGTGTGTAGTGGGTCTGTTTTTGCTACTGCTGCCGCCGCCGCCGCCGCCGCTGCCTGCCTGCCTGCCTGCCTGCCTGCCTGCTGCCTGCCCGATATAGCCAAGCGGCGAGAGGCGCTTGCCGTCAGTCGGTGAGCGGCGCTGCTCGGCTTTCCGGGCTGGGGTTGATGTGAGTGTAGATGTCTCTGCGCGGGCACGCGCGCGCGCTTGATTGAAGGGTAAGACTTGAACGCGAAGAGAAGACGCAGGAGCAGGCAAAGCGGCGGCAAAGTAAGCGGCAAGAGCTGGCTTTTCCTGGGCTCGGCACCCTCTCTTAACTTGGGAACTGTCCACCAGCGCGAGCTCCTGAAAAATGAACCTCCCGGCGCTCTACCTGTTCGGATTGTTTCTCAGTAGCGGGCGAGGTAGGAGTGCCTGTTCTTCTAATCCTGGTTTATTTACCGTCCAAATCTCTCCCCCCCCCCCCCCCAATCGTTACAATGCAAATCAAAGACGAGCATCCCTCTCACTTCTTTGCCACCCCAGCAGATTAACGGTTGAAACCATGTTTGCCCTCACACCAATTTGTTCCTTAAATCTATTTTTCGGGGTGGGGGGAGCTGTTACATTTTGTTGTTGTTTAAATGAGGGTGAGCAAAAAATGCTAATTCCAGTTTCTTGAGGGTTATCTCTTTCTGTCCTCTTATTATGGAACAAGGATTGTCCTTCTTCAGAGCCGTTTGTTTTTTAAATGCAGTGAAAAGCATGGGTCTGAATGTATTTCTGAATGTACTAATTAAAGTTATCTCTTTTTAAAAAAAGAATATTAACAGGGCAGGAGAGTTCTAATGAGGGAGAAAATTTGGGATTCTGCTATGAAGAAAAACCAATCACCCTTCTTTCGTGCCTCTGTAAAGGAGGCTTCATTCTGAATTTCCTGTTATTTGTCTGGTGTGTTTTGTTGGGCATGACATATCTGTACATATATAGGTATGTACACAGCAGTTTTGTTGCAAGGCAGAGCATAACATACACACAGGCTTAAAGGAATGACAGTTGCAAGGAAGTAGTGGTTAGATGCACAGGGCTGCATTTATATTCCACTGGTTTTTATCTTTCTCTGTGGTTTCCAGAAATGTGTCTTTTAAAATGGATAGATGATGATTTTGTGGTGTTTATTCCTAGGTTGTCTTTGGATTCTACTAGTTTTGATCAGGGGAAGGGAGTACTGAAGTGTGTCAATGTAACACACTACCAGAGCCTCTCCGTATAAATGAATTGCAGTGCTTTGAACAGTTCTGACAAGTTTTTGATAGGGCAAGGACTGGACTACATTACTAAAGGAACTTATTTTGTCTATTCGGTGGAAGGTTGAATGAATTTCATCACAACATATTTGTGCTGAAGTTTATATACCCTAAGAAGGAGGCAAAAATGAGGTGGGGGAGGGAGGGAGGGAAACGTATATATTATATGTATGCCATATATTTTCCAGGGTGCTCTTTTTAGTGACTTGATCTGTCCAGCAGGGGGTGATAGAATTCCACTGAAATACTATATTCTTTAATTCTCCTCTGTCTAGGCAAGTTGTTTTACACTGACAGACTATGAGTCTGTCTTTTATCATTCTTGAAGCACAGCTTGACATTTTGAATTGGACTTCTTCAGTTCTCATCTCTCCATCTATCGCCCCTCCCCCATGCCATACTTTAGAAACTGACTTCACACAAAGATATGTAAATTAGATGAACAGGCCATTTTCCTCCAAGGCTTCTCTTCCATCACACATATTAGGAATTATTCTCCGCAGTATCGATAAACTGTGTCTTTGCAAACTGTTGCACAGTGCTAAATCAAATGTCCATTCAAGACTTATTCCAAAGAATAATACTGTAAGTCTTTGGATGAAATTGTTTCTTGCTGAAATAGTGGTGTAACAAAGTGATGCATTTTTATTATCTCTAAAGCAACTAAAATGCATAGCCCTAATAATGTGCAATGGAGCTATATTTAAGAGAAGAAAATGGGCATTAGAAGAGATTAGTTATTAGTTATGTGTCCCCCTCCCCCCAAATTTGGTCTTATAGTATGGTTTTGTTTTTGTTTTTCAAATATTTTTAGACTCATCAAGGAAGATTTCATATCTTAAAATGCTTTGTTCAGATAGCATTTATTGATGTAATTACTGAACATATTCATCAGTCTTTTCTGAGAATCCAGAGTGGCTTATATATGATGCCTAGACCTTTTTCACTTCCGCAGTAGAACTAGATCATATATCTTCGGTCAAGAGCTATCCTCTGGATTGGATTGCATTTTGTACTGTGACAGTGTGGAATGAAGAGGTTCCAAGAGAAGTAGGACGCTGTTCATTTCTTAAGGTCTTTCCAGGGTGCTTCATGCAGTTCTTGTATTCATCGTATATACAGCAATCATATGAGGCAGCAACTTGTCCTTGGCAACTGGGATCATTTGCCAAATAGGTAATAATTTACCCTTAACTTTTTAGACCCCAATGCAACATATTATTGCTTGCCTCTACATGAAATAACCTTCTTAAACTTGTATACAGATTTGCTTTTGTTCGGAGTAATCCATCTGATGCACAGCTTTTCTACTGTGAGATACTCAAGAGATTTCATAGTAGCATCTAATTATCTACAATAGATAATTAAAATGTTGGCAGAACACGTAGATTTAACAATATTTCCTTGACTACCTAAAGCCTAAAGATAAAGAGAGAGAAACACTGTTTATTTACATAAATTATAAGCATCCTGGTAGGGTGAGGGTAGGAAGAACAAGCTACAAAAATTTGGGACAATTTCATTGAGCATTAAAAAAAAAAAAAAAAAGGAATGCCATGCCATTTTGAAAAAGATTTTTCCATACCTTTATCTAAACAGAATGCTTTCTTTGTTAATATTTTGAAAGCAATGGGAGCATATGGGAGGCACAAATAAAATAGGCAGTAATCATTGGGGTCATTTGCTTCCAATATATAAATTGCCAAGGTCCAGGTTTTATGTTGGCAATATAGTTGCTGTGGATTTTATGAAGCATGATGAAATCTTCTTTTTTTCAGATGCATTGCAAAGTTAGAGTAGCAGAAGGATAATGTATTTCTTTTTAAGCAGTCATGATATTTTGAGCTTCAGCAACTGGATTCTCAAAATGACTGAAGTGAAAATTGACAAACATAAGTGCTCTCTGATGTCGTAATTAGATAAGGACACAGTGTTCCCACTCTTAACTTTATTCAGATATGTAAAAAAAGAGGTTGCTTTAATGGCAGCCATCTGATAAAATGCATCCAAAAAGATATTTTGAAAGCAAGATTTGTTTGTTCACTCTGAATTGGGGTTTTTGATTAATAATGTAAAAGTTATTTAATTCTTTGTTGATAACCTCAAATTTCTGGCAAAATATATATTCAGAATGGAAAAGGGTTAAACTATAATCCCATGCACAGTTGCTAAGAGTAAATCCACTGAATTTAATGAAATACTGTTCAATATACATAGTAATCTGTCTGTCTGTCTGTCTGGAATGCTGATTTATGGAGAAGGCTAAGACTGCACTTCAGGATCTCATGGTATTGATTTAGGACACTAATATTTTCCACTTAGCATGCTTTTATATTTGAAAGAGTATGTAGTTTCTATACTGTGATGAAATATACTGTAAATGTAGTCTGCCAGGTCTTGTTGCTGTGCTCAAAATACCCAAATATTTTACTGAGGTAAAATGTATAGCTAGGAGACTTTTTCTCTGTTACTTCAGTTTTCCCCTTCAATACGTAAATGTTTTCAGAAAATTCACTGATAATCAGCAACTTCTCTTCAAGAGGCTCAGCAAATGGCAGACTATAGTGGTAGGATAAGATTAGGAAATCATAGAATGTCACTTGAAAATTGTTTCTTGAACTTTCCTTTCTGACTGATAAAAAAAACAAAAAAAACAAAAACAAAAACAAAACTCACCTCTGACTGAACAATTAAATAATATATATTTTAGAAACAACAATAACAATGACTTTTCCCTATATTTCCCATAAATACATTATCTACCCCTGCCAGTCTTAAAGAAAAATAGCTAATCTAGAAAGAAAATTTATACTGATGAACAACTACTTGGAAAACACAGGAATATAGTCTAATAGTAATCTGTTATTCTTCGTTATTACATTTCTCCAGCACAGCCTTAAATGAAACACTGAAAACAATATTAGTCACAGATGACTTTTGTTTCTCCAATACATACAATGTGGCTTAAAAGTCTTATTTGTAAATCTGAGGGAGAAAAAATTGTAAGGCTTATTTTTGATGGAAATCTGTGGAAAGGTCATAAAAAGTTGTTCCCAAGTAAAGTTTGACCATTAGTAGCAGGACACTATAAAGATGGCCTTTTTCCAGGATTTTTTTCCCCCCAACTTCTTACTCTAACATTTTCCCATCAAAGTACTAATCAGGTCCCATCCTGCTTTAGTTCTTTGAGATCAGCCAAAGTCAGTTCTTAAGTCATCCCAGACTTAAGCAGACAAGTAGGTCTATCCATATTGACTGCAGAATCCTAGTCTCCAAGGAATGGGGAAAGAAACATGTCCGGGCTTACCCAATAGGTTCTCTTAAGTGTCACCCTTGCTGCCAAAATCTTTGCCTGGAGCAGAAGAATAAGGATTCTTGGAAAAATACCTGGGAAAGGAAAAAGGAAGAACAACCTCTGGAAGAGAAAGAACACAAAATGGTTGAAAAGATGGAAATGGAAACAGCCAACATGGTTTTGGTTAGCTAGTTTCTAAGATAAACTGAAAGTTAAGCAACTTTATGTTTAGATTATGCAGTTAGTCTGCCTTATTGATTATGATAATTGGAAAACACCTGTTCCCTGTACCAAGGAATTGCCTCTTATGATTGTATCAAATCTTCATTATCTTAAGCTTTTTGAGCCCAGTCTCCACCTGTTGGATCTGCACCCCAGTCTTCCCATAGCAAACAATGCAAAAGTGATGTTTGAGACACTGTAAGTATTTTTATCAATGCTAAATATTTCATTCCATCCAATTGTAACTGTTTTGGCATTTGACATTTGTTTTCATTTTCTTTATTTTTAATAAAACCAATTTTCAAACAAGAAGGTTGATGCTTTTATTTTTATCTTGGCAGAAAAGATAGAGCTGCTGTTCTTTGGACACGTATCTCAAAAGTAC